GAGAAGGCTGATATCAAAGAAAAGGGACTGCTCTAATACAACAGATTTGATATTAATCTTGCAGGACAGTAAGAACATTTCAGCTCAAGATAAATGTTAAAACCCCTTAGAAAACCCTGTGGTTCTGTCATTGAGCAATGTGTGGCAAAGTGGAACACCACGGTACATCAAGAGCGTTTAGTCCATGTGAATGTTGTATAGTGTCTATATCTAGACTAAATGGTGGTGAGGAAGAGGACAGTAACATGAAAATTAAGCTGTAAGGGCTTTAACTTAAAGTAGCCATTAATCTGAAGTCTGGAATGGTGGTTGGGTTTTTGTTACAGCGGTAGTGATGGATGGATGTTATACTGCCTGAAGTCATTACTATTTCTGGTGATGTTTCCCTGTCACTAGGAAATGAGCATTTTTAGTTTCTTTCTGTGTGCTTTTGACACGTTCAGTCTAAATCTTAATTCTTAGAATAATTCTGTCTTTTAGAAAAGGCCTAAGCTGCTTATAACTAAAAGATGATGGAGATAAAAATGCATCCTTTTGTTTCTGTCATCTTTCTAAACCTGCCTATTGCTGCTTGCTATGACTGTGGATTTCTTTCAGTCGCTCTTAATTGTTTTGCATAAAGCTGCTTTCCAAGATGCCAATGTTTGCTTGTTTGTGTTTGACTGCATCTACTTCAGTGATGTCAGCCTGATGGACAGATATGTGTCTGGCACAGTGTGAGTAGCCTGACCAGTTTGCCAGCATGAACTTGCCACAGAGGGAGAGGTTTATGTGGGCTATTGAGCCCAGAAAATCCAGGCAGCATGGGAGGATCCTTGCTGTGCTGAGGAGTTTCACTGTGGAGCTCTATCTTGCTTTGCAGTTCCAAAATAGGTTTGACTCTATTTCAGTGAGTGTGGTTCAGTGCCCAGCTCATCTTCTATCTGAAACAAAATGCATGCTTAACATAGAACTTCTATTTTATAACTCACTCCCTGGAGGAAAGTAAGAATTGATTGTCCTTTCTAGAACTCTGTAGGATACATCATTTAATTCTCTAAATAGCTTTTCTCAGTGTTCACATGTCTGCTACTTGTCCTTCATTCTCCAAACCTTCCTTCAGGCCTCTGTGTGAGCATTGCAAGTTCCTCTATGATAACACGGTTGAAATCCCTGACCGGCTCCTCTTCTCAGAGATGAAGCACGTCACGGTGAGCTCAGTGTTCAGACTGCCTGGCTGGTGATCTCATTGCTTGTACTCTGGAGACCCCATTGCTCCTTTGCCACAGGGCCTTCTGACTAAGGCTGCAAAGGCAGCAATCCCCTGCTGTCAGGATGGTTCTGCTGTCTGTACAGGGCTCCTTGAGTGAGCGGTGTTCAAGAGCACTGTGCCTGTGCTCCCATCTTGAGCAATGCAACCACTTTACATAGTTGAAACTTGCACATCTTTTTTTTCCTCTTGGCTTCTTAACGATTTTGTACCTATCATAACTTTGTTGCTAGGAGGAGCTAAATCCTCATGTAACTTAGTCTTTACTGTGCAATGCTGAGCTGTGGAGAAAGACTGGAATATGACTGAAGGGAGCTAGACTGCTTCTGGCAACTTCAAGTGCCACACAGCCCACATACATCCCAAGTGCTAAAAGCTGCATTTACATTGCAGCACGCTTGGTTTTTCCTTTCATTGCTGTGCACAAGGCCTATCTCCCATTATTTTTCCCCACTGCTACTGATTTCAGTAGCATCTTGGCTTTGGTGGAGAATGCTTGGGCATTTGGGGCAGAGGAAGCATTTTGGGAAGAAGCAAAGAGGATAGGAACCAAGGCAGCTGGATAGAGCATTAAGCAGGCTGAGAAAATCTCATCTTGCACATACACAACATACCTGGGACACAACCAACGTGTGTCCTCATCTCTGAGGGGTATGTTTAACTAACGACCCCTTCTCTTCCTGGGACATATTCCCATATTAGTTACTGGATGTGCAGCAAAGAGAACATGGTTTAGTACACCACTGCTCCACATAGAAAGCCTGAAGACCACAGCCCTTTGACACTCTTGAGCTAACCGTGATGCCTTTCCATTTCAGAAAGCTTTGGATCTGGCAGATACGATCACCCACATCATTCGTGAGGGACTGGAAGGACTGGTGTTGAAAGATATAAAGGCAGGTTCATATTTACTCTTCACTGGGTATGCCGGGAGTTGGGGAGTAACAGCAGGCAGATCTGTGGATGAAGCACACAAAGCTGAGCATCCTGGAAATCTCTGGGTTCTTACTGATGCTGACATCCAATCCAAGTTGCTCCTTATAGATGTGAGCACTGCTGTGCTCTTGCAGTGTTAAGCTGGATAAAAGCAAGGGCTGTTTGAGGGGACAGCTGTCCCCCAGATGATCTTTCTGACTGGGGGTTCTTACCCTGTTCTGCACAGGGTAATTAAGAACCAGGGAAGCGGCACTGGCTGAAAGTGAAGAAGGATTACCTAAATGGGGGTGCCATGACTGACATGGCAGACCTGGTGGTGCTGGGTGCAGTGGAACTAATATCCTTGTTTCAGTTCCCTGACCTTCACCAGCCAAATAATTTACTGTCATTTCCTCCTTTCCCCTCTTCCCTATCCTGGCAATAACTGTGTGTGCACATAAAAACTTAGTGAATACTAATCAGGAGCAGTGTAATGGTGTTTCTAGCCCTGTGAACACATGCTTTATGACTGTTGTGGGGCTTGTTCTTTTTGGTGGGTTTTGTTTTGCTTAAAAAAAACCCAAACCAGAGTCCCACAGGGCTTTTGTTAACATTAATTGTGTTGAGCAAATTTGAAATATTTGAAAGCTTTTAAGTGCCTGTTCTATGTACGTTCAAGGTTTGTCTTGGAACGTGCTCTGTTGCAATAGGCATTTTCCAATTAAGTGAAACAGCAGTGAGGATAATGAGCTTACGGAAATGGAAGAGCCATGCTGGAGGGAGATGGAAAGCCAAAAAGCATTAATCTTAATAGGATCCTTTCTCTTCCTTTTTTTTTTTCTTTTCTTTGCTTTGCTTTTCCTTTAAAGTTTAAACTTTTCATGGATTTTCCTTGGCATGTCCCTGGCTCTGCAGATGCACCTTCTGCATCCAAGGAGTCTCTTCCACTGCATGTGCCTGGTTCTGCAGTGGCACCTTCTGCATCCAGGGAGTCTCTTCCACTTCTTTCTTCAGAAGTCTATGTCAAATTTCTCTCATCTGTTTGCTTTCTTTTTCTCTTCCATTCTCCCTGAGCAATCATCTGCACTCTCCTTGCTACAGTGATGGAGGCTCATGCACGCACACACACACGCAGAGTCATCTGTCACTTTAACTGAGTGTGCAGTGTGGGGAATGGGGAATTCACCGCCTTCTGCTCTGGAAGGCAAAGTAACCCTCCACAGAGCCAAACCCTCCCTCTGCCTCTGGGAGAGGTCTGGGCTTTGGTCCAGTTCTGCAGCTCAGTCACCTTAAGCAAGGCTCCCTCCTTCTCTATGATGAGTAGTTATCTTTTCCCAGATGCTTCCCAGTGAAATAAGAAGGATCCAGGTGGAGTCAGTGTCTAGGACTGGCATCTTTTCCTGCTCCTGTGGTTGTCATGTTGTACCTTGCTGTGTCAGTGCTTGGTTGGGAAGTCCTGGTGGGCTGAAGCAGCCAGGTGGCTGCTGAGTATGGAGCAGGAAGGTGGCAGTGAGCTCTGCTGTGGGGCAGCTCCTCTTTGAGAGGAGGCTCTTTGAACTGAAGGTGGACCCAAAAGGGAATTTCATACTTACAACCAGAAACTGGGGCTCTGACTTAGCTGTGTTTTCTGGGAGGAACTGGAGCTTGAAGGAAGTAGGGAACTCGTGGGCTGCACATGGCACACCATGCAGAGGGAGCACTGTGATGTCTCCCAGGAGGGATGCTGGGCTTAACTCATCACTTTCCTGTGCCTGTCACCTCTCCCACCATTTCTAAATTGACCTGTGAAGCATCCCCATGCCCTGCTCTCACTCCTGCTTCACCTGATGGCACTTCTACCAGCACAGGTTTCTGTGGGATGCTTAACTGGGTGACATCTCTATAGAAAAGGTTACGTGGAGTCTGGGATGGACTTTCTTAGTTTCCTTCTATCCCTGGCTGTTTAAAGTGGACTGTGTTTCTTTAAATCCTTTACAGCTGCTGTCTTGCAGAAAACAATGCTTAGATCTTTAATCTGAAAACAAGAGCTCAGAAGCCTCAGCTGTATTTCTCTTTGCCCAAACCAGAAGATTTGGAGGTGTAGACACCACAAATGTCTCCCTAGAGGTAGGTGCATTTCAATAGTGGATGAAGGGATGTCTAGATATATACCATTGAGGGTAGATAGGCTTTTGCATGGCAAGGGTGCTGGAGGTACCACATAATTCCACTCTATTGAGATTCTAATACTCACCTGTCACTGTGGTGTCAGTGTGGTATTAGAGAGGGCACTGAGGGGAACATATTGATCCCATCTGTGTACACTTTAAAGCATCCTCTGCATTCTTTATGTCCAATGCATCAGTCATTGCCCAGTTCCTCCCCTGCTCTAACAGCAAAATCTTTCATCCAGGAGCCAAAGCAAGGCAGCTTGACCAGCTCTGATGTCGTCAGGAAACGTGTCGGGCTTCTGCCATGAGTACAGAGACTGCTTCTACCCCCAGAAGTTTCAGGCAGTAAGCAGGATTAAGACACACAGCTGTAAGCTTTTCTGTGACCTTTGGGTATTTAAATAGGCTTGGCCTGGCTTCATGAATATGAGTACTCTTCTATCTAGTTTCCAAGCCACTGCTCTCCTGGCATAGAAATCCTTGAAGGAGTGGTTTTGACTATGTTTTTAAGTGGCTTTCCTTGAAAAGTAAAAAATAGCACTGTAAGTGATAATCAGACTTTATGCCTGTATTTCCCATGATATTTTGTGGTCCTCGGTTTTCAAGCCCATTCTGTTTGTTTTATGCTCAATCTCAGTGCATTTTTTTTCTTTGAGATCTAAAATTCTGCATTTGTGTGTGCATGTAATGATTTTCAAGGCTTTCTCCAAGCTGTTCTCCCACTAGAGGGTACTCCTGCTACATCAGAAGTAGTCATTCAGGGCTGGCCTTCATTCGCAATGCATCCCTCTTCTTTCTGAGCAGGCTGTTCATTGACAGCACAACCTGGATGTGTTCATCGTGCTGCTCCCCTGCTTCAGTGGCTGTGGCTGCTTCACTGTTGCTGGTTGTGCAGGGGGCCAGAAATGCAGTAATGCCATTTTGGCCTCTACTGTCTCCACCTCATTGGCTACACAGCACTCTGCTCCAGTGTGTCTGACCCACTGGCCCTCAGGCTGGGAGCTGAGGTTAGTGCCAGCTTCAGGGAGCACGTGGAGGGTCCCCTACACCACACGACTGGGTTTGATTTGAACATGTTCTAATGGCTACAGGGTCCTGCAGACACACTGCTGCTGAGCTGAGGGGTGGAGGTGGGGAGCTCTTGGTTTTGGGGCATGTTACTGGGGTCTGGAAACAGAGAAAATTTACTGGTCATCTGTTTTTAGGCAGGAGATCAGACCACATGGTCTATTCTGGCCTTGAACTCTGTGCGTGTGTTGGCTGTTGATAGATGGGAGGCTCCCTTAAGAGCAGATTTATTTGCCTTTCATGTCATGAGACTGTAAAAGTAGCTTTGGGTATGGCTGGACCCTCTCCTTTCTCCTCCATGCTTGAGTGCCCCCATGTATTTATGGCAGGCAGGCTGCCCATGGGCGGGCAGGATGCAGCCATGCTGTGGTTTATGCTACTCTTGGGGCTGTTCTTTCACTGCAGCATGGCTTCATCCTCTGAAGTGGCACAGCCAGCAGACGGGATTTTAGGTTTACAGGGCTCATCCAAGGAGAAGCCCCAGGTTCCTTCCCTGTAGTCTCTTGTGTCAGAACTATACCCCAGTGCTTTGCTCCCCTGCCAGCACCTCACCTTCACACCTCCCTGCACTCCAGAGCCTCTGGGATTTCCACCATTGCCTGCTGCTTTCCTGTTGAGCCTAGTCGTGCTCCTGTCTGCTCACACTGATTAAATGGGTAGGCAGGAATTACAGTCAACCATCCATCACCAGAGTCAAGATGAAAGAGGTCAAAATCTTTCTTTCCCAGGCTGTTGCGAGCAGTGAGAGAGCCAGCTACAGCTTTCTGGCAGTACAAGTGCATAGATGTGCTGGGGATAGTTCTCCTTCCTAAAAGAAGAGCAATGGGCTCCATCACCAGCTACACAAAGCAGTATCTTTAAAGCAATGAGAGTCACAGCTCAGTACTGGTAGTTGGTGGAAAAGTCTTCTATTCTCAGGAGAATAAAACATCATCTTTTGCAAAAGAGAGGGCCTGTGGCATAGGTTGGTGTTTGGAGTAATAAATCCCAGATGTGGATCATGAAAGGGAATGCCATTGTCCCATTGAGTCTATCTTAAGCCGTAGGACACATAGGTGGGTCTCTTAAGTGTGTGCTGTCAAACACAGGTGAGGAGATAATCCAAGACACTAAATGCTCTACTTGAGTGTTTGGTCCTCTGACATAATCTGCTGTGGGATCTTGCAGGAAACCTGGTGGTGATTGGGATGTAGTTGTTCCTGTAAGCATCAGTAAAGCTGGCTCGTCTTCAGAGATCTGTGCAGCTGCTGGAATAAGGAACAGTGTAAAGAATGACATCCATGAAGCTGGGGAGCAGGTTGTACTCTAAAATCCAGCAAAGCCTTCTCGCTTCCCCCAGACTGACAGCACTGAGGTAGCAGAGGCCACGATGGCAGGCTGGAAAACACTCTACTTTCCAGGAGTGGAAAGGAAGTTGGGGTCTGACAGTCAGGAAAACTGAGCCTACAAAAGGGAGTAACTCACCACTGTGACTAACTGTTCCTGTTGGAAAACCTGAAGAAAGTAATCTAGCAGCTCAGAATTGCAGTAAATTACAGACCTGGCTTTGCCTGTCTGCTGAGCACTCTCAGCCTCTATTGGTCTCGGAACCAGGCTATGAATTGCTGCAAGGCAATGAGCTGCCTGGTGCCTGAACCCTTATGTACTTCCCTAGACCCAATCCTTCTCTTTGTCCAGTTCCCATCGGTGGCTGTAAGTGCTCATGGTCACTGCAGCTGAGTGCTGACTCTGGTTTACCCCCCTGTAAATCCAGAGGAATTTCACAGATGCTGTAACAGCCCTTCCAAGGTTGCATCGGAGTAATGGGGCCCTTTCTTCTCTGGCGTGTATCTGATCCCTGGTTATTGTCCAGTATGCTGCTGAAGGCAGCAGGACACTGAAGCTCTGTTGGAAGGAGTTGTCTCTATTCCTTTCTGCTGCACCCAGGAGGAGGCTGCTGAGCAGCATCATGCTGTGCACCTCTGGTTCCTTCCCAAGCTGGGAGCGGATCAATCTGGGAGGTGAGGAAGAGCATCTCAGCCCACCTTGTGCACACACAACTGCGGAGGCTGCTCTGGAGAGCTGTTGTGCAAACAAATGTCTGTTTGTTTGTGTGTTTGTGCAGCCCACAGCAATTACCACACC